GAGATGACGAATGCCAATTACAGCTTGCTATCAGTGGCAGCCTGTTGCACAAACTCTTGTATATTAAATCATTTGCAGAGATTGTGGCTGCCTCTCAGCTAGGAGGCTCAGTGACAGAGTGGACTTAATGTAGGGCACGAATGCAGCTGAGCGGTGTAAGAGGTAAACCGCGCAGTCCTCCCTCACTTCTCTCAGCCTCATCTCTGATTTCAGCCAGCTAGAGTCGAATTCTGCGTGGGCTTTGACTCACTTCATGGTCAGTAATTCACCTGAAATGGATACTTTGCTTTCTGCCCTGTAATTCTTCTGATGCTGTACATGCTGGGAGGAGCTCACTCAGCCCACATGCATGCTTAGCTCAGCAGCTGAAGGGAGGTCACACTTCTGGGGACAACTCTCAACTCATGGGGTGAAAGCAGATGGACATGTTCCTTCACCTGAAGTCCTTTGAGCAAACATCTTAGGAGGCGTCCACACACTTCTCAGTGGTCTTTGAGTATTTGAGTTCCTGTTGCCCATGCTAACAACTTTGATAATTCTTTTTATTTTTATTTGTTTTTCCTTCTTTCTTGTCTTAATCTCCTAAATCTCTCAGGCTGCTCCCTGGGGCCACCACCTAAATACCTGCATGCCATGCAAGTCCTTGTCATAGGATCTGTCTTGTCTAACTTAGACAGAGGGCAAAATGTAAAATATAATGACAATAAAGTAAATTTTCTGTAAAGCCACATTTAATCAGTGATAGGGACTGTCCTTTATTCTGAGTTTATATCCTTTCTTGGTAGGGTAGGCAGAATAATGGTTCCCCCTAAAGATGTCCACATCCTAATCTCTGGAACCTGTGAATATGTTACTTTAAACATAGCAAAGGAGTTTTACAGATGGATTACATTAAAAACCTTGAGATGGGAAGATTATTTTGAATTATCTGGGAGGAGGGGGAACACCTAATATAATCACAAGGATCTTAAAAGGTAGAAGAGGGAAGCAGGAGAGTTAGAGAAAGAGATGTGATGACAGAAGCAGAGAGCTGAGTGATGGGATTTCTGGCCTGGAAGATAAAGGGCCACCAGCCAAGGAATGCATGTGGCCTTTAGAAGGTGGAAGAGGCAAGAATACAGAATAGCCCCTAGTGCCTCTGCAGTCCTGACAACACCTTGATTTGAGCCCAGTGAAACCCAGATAAAGGGCCACCAGCCAAGGAATGCATGTGGCCTTTAGAAGGTGGAAGAGGCAAGAATACGGAATAGCCCCTAGTGCCTCTGCAGTCCTGACAACACCTTGATTTGAGCCCAGTGAAACCCATTTTTTGGAACTTTGACCTCCATAAGTATAAGATAATAAATTTGTATTGTCTTAAACTGTGAAGTTTGAAGTAATTTAATATAGAAGCAATAAGAAACTTATATACTTGGTGATAAAATTACCTGTCTCTTTTGAAATGATTGTGATACTAGATGTTAATTGTTCTTACTTGGCAATCAAATGTTTTTACTTGGCAAATAAAAAGTTGTTAGTCTTCCAAAATTGTTTGAAATTTTGCTGATGTGTGAAGTTCAAAAGTATGGGATCCACTTCCACAAATATCCAGCATAGTCAGTCAAGGCTCTGAAAGATTTTGTAAGTGACCAACTTTCCTGGAAATACCCTATAATCAGCTGACTGGCAGCGAAGCCAGCAAAGTAATATACATCCTTCTGATTCATGACACTGTGTATATGTCACAGGGGTTAGCTCTTGTGCTGGATATCGTGGTTCCTCTCCAGATCGATCCTCTACACTTTAACACCCTCTCTGAGCCCTGAGAGGTTGACTTTTATGGATTACATCAGTGGACTCTCTTGTTTTCTGACTTCCAGCCAATGGGAGGCACCAGCAGGAGCCTGGAGGATGGGAGGTTGGGGTGTTCATTTACCCAGTTTCTACCCTTTGGAGTTGCTGCTTCTGGAGGCCACAGCTCCTGTTAAATGATGCTTTCCCTAAAGTTGCCTTCTCCTGGTTCTAATAACCTCTCCAACAGTGGTAATGCCTCCCCCCCACACCAATACTGAAGCTCCAGTGTCCTGCACTGTCTTTTGTAGCTTCTCTAAATCCCAATCACACCTTCATAATTAGTCCCCTTATTATACTCTTCTCAAATTAGTCATTTTAAGTGTGCCGTCTGTTTCTTGTCAGGATCCTGGCTGACAGAGCTAGGAAGTAGGGGGCAGTTCTTACTTTTAGGGTCAATGGTGGCTGAAGTAAGTTCCTTCACGTTAGCATTCCAGAACACACAGCTGAAGTTTCTGCCAGGGTGTGGCTTTAGGCGCAGAACACTGGTGAGCTGGAAGAGGCCTTCAGGGGTCCTTGTGTGGCTGGTGTTGGCAGGAACACTGACATTTGGCCAGGACACTTCTGCCAGGGGATAACCATCAGCCTGGCAGGTGAGCTCTACCTCGTCTGTCCCTGGGACCTTTAGTACGTAAGTGTTTATTTTCTTGTAGGAAGCTGGACAATAGAAGAAGAAAAAAGAGATAAGTCTTTCTTTGCTGATTCCTATAGACCTCTGTTCTTACTGCCATATGAGGTGAATAAAATGATCACTAAACATATAAAGTAATAATGCTTATCATTTTTAAACACTTCCTATGTCCCAGATATCATGCTATTTTACATACATTGAATTTTTTACAATTATTTAATTCTTACAATAAAACATAGATGACATTGTTGATATTCCCAATTTTTGTTGGGGTTGACTGAAGCTAGCAGTTGAGTATTTTGCCCAGAATCACAGGCTAATGACTGGTGGAGCCAACATTTGAACATTGGAAGTCTGATTCCAGATCTCAGCAGTGCTCTAAGCTACCACACTCTGTTGCTTCTTATAGCACTGCAAATCACCTCAAAATTGGGGGCTGGAGAGAGGAGAGAGAATGAATAAATAAAATCATTGGATAACCCCCATATCACACTTTATTCAGTGCTTTTTCAAACATCTTCAGTAGAAAATTGACTTTCCACTTCTTTCTTTCCTCTGTTCTCTTTGAGATTAGGAGGAGAAAAAATAAAGAGCTAGATAATGTCTGTAAATAGTCAAGAGCTGGGTGTATTTATTAGGTGCTTCTCCTCCCATACACACACATGTGCACACATACACAAACAGATGTAGTTCATGCATACACATGCTTCTGTGCAGTGCATGCTGAGCAGATTAATCAGATGTAGCCCTGCCCTTTGGAAAACAGCAATCTGAAATAGACAAGGGTGTATGTGGAGGTTCCTTAAAAAACTAAAAATAGAATGGCCATATGATCCACCTCTGGGTATATATATCCAAAGGAATTGAAAGTGGTATGTTGAAGAGATATTTCCACTCCCATGTTCATTTCAGCTACCACACTCTGTTGCTTCTTATAGCACTGCAAATCACCTCAAAATTGGGGGCTGGAGAGAAGAGAGAGAATGAATAAATAAAATCATTGGATAACCCCCATATCTCACTTTATTCAGTGCTTTTTCAAACATCTTCAGTAGAAAATTGACTTTTCCACTTCTTTTTTTCCTCTGTTCTCTTTGAGATTAGGAGGAGAAAAAATAAAGAGCTAGATATTGTCTGTAAATAGTCAAGAGCTGGGTGTATTTATTAGGTGCTTCTCCTCCCATACACACACATGTGCACACATACACAAACAGATGTAGTTCATGCATACACATGCTTCTGTGCAGTGCATGCTGAGCAGATTAATCAGATGTAGCCCTGCCCTTTGGAAAACAGCAATCTGAAATAGACAAGGGTGTATGTGGAGGTTCCTTAAAAAACTAAAAATAGAATGGCCATATGATCCATCTCTGGGTATATATATCCAAAGGAATTGAAAGTGGTATGTTGAAGAGATATTTCCACTCCCATGTTCATTTCAACATTATTCACAATAGCTAAGATACGGAAGCAACCTAAGTGTCCATCAACAGATAAATGGCTNGATAAAGGGCCACCAGCCAAGGAATGCATGTGGCCTTTAGAAGGTGGAAGAGGCAAGAATACAGAATAGCCCCTAGTGCCTCTGCAGTCCTGACAACACCTTGATTTGAGCCCAGTGAAACCATTTTTTGGAACTTTGACCTCCATAAGTATAAGATAATAAATTTGTATTGTCTTAAACTGTGAAGTTTGAAGTAATTTAATATAGAAGCAATAAGAAACTTATATACTTGGTGATAAAATTACCTGTCTCTTTTGAAATGATTGTGATACTAGATGTTAATTGTTCTTACTTGGCAATCAAATGTTTTTACTTGGCAAATAAAAAGTTGTTAGTCTTCCAAAATTGTTTGAAATTTTGCTGATGTGTGAAGTTCAAAAGTATGGGATCCACTTCCACAAATATCCAGCATAGTCAGTCAAGGCTCTGAAAGATTTTGTAAGTGACCAACTTTCCTGGAAATACCCTATAATCAGCTGACTGGCAGCGAAGCCAGCAAAGTAATATACATCCTTCTGATTCATGACACTGTGTATATGTCACAGGGGTTAGCTCTTGTGCTGGATATCGTGGTTCCTCTCCAGATCGATCCTCTACACTTTAACACCCTCTCTGAGCCCTGAGAGGTTGACTTTTATGGATTACATCAGTGGACTCTCTTGTTTTCTGACTTCCAGCCAATGGGAGGCACCAGCAGGAGCCTGGAGGATGGGAGGTTGGGGTGTTCATTTACCCAGTTTCTACCCTTTGGAGTTGCTGCTTCTGGAGGCCACAGCTCCTGTTAAATGATGCTTTCCCTAAAGTTGCCTTCTCCTGGTTCTAATAACCTCTCCAACAGTGGTAATGCCTCCCCCCCACACCAATACTGAAGCTCCAGTGTCCTGCACTGTCTTTTGTAGCTTCTCTAAATCCCAATCACACCTTCATAATTAGTCCCCTTATTATACTCTTCTCAAATTAGTCATTTTAAGTGTGCCGTCTGTTTCTTGTCAGGATCCTGGCTGACAGAGCTAGGAAGTAGGGGGCAGTTCTTACTTTTAGGGTCAATGGTGGCTGAAGTAAGTTCCTTCACGTTAGCATTCCAGAACACACAGCTGAAGTTTCTGCCAGGGTGTGGCTTTAGGCGCAGAACACTGGTGAGCTGGAAGAGGCCTTCAGGGGTCCTTGTGTGGCTGGTGTTGGCAGGAACACTGACATTTGGCCAGGACACTTCTGCCAGGGGATAACCATCAGCCTGGCAGGTGAGCTCTACCTCGTCTGTCCCTGGGACCTTTAGTACGTAAGTGTTTATTTTCTTGTAGGAAGCTGGACAATAGAAGAAGAAAAAAGAGATAAGTCTTTCTTTGCTGATTCCTATAGACCTCTGTTCTTACTGCCATATGAGGTGAATAAAATGATCACTAAACATATAAAGTAATAATGCTTATCATTTTTAAACACTTCCTATGTCCCAGATATCATGCTATTTTACATACATTGAATTTTTTACAATTATTTAATTCTTACAATAAAACATAGATGACATTGTTGATATTCCCAATTTTTGTTGGGGTTGACTGAAGCTAGCAGTTGAGTATTTTGCCCAGAATCACAGGCTAATGACTGGTGGAGCCAACATTTGAACATTGGAAGTCTGATTCCAGATCTCAGCAGTGCTCTAAGCTACCACACTCTGTTGCTTCTTATAGCACTGCAAATCACCTCAAAATTGGGGGCTGGAGAGAGGAGAGAGAATGAATAAATAAAATCATTGGATAACCCCCATATCACACTTTATTCAGTGCTTTTTCAAACATCTTCAGTAGAAAATTGACTTTCCACTTCTTTCTTTCCTCTGTTCTCTTTGAGATTAGGAGGAGAAAAAATAAAGAGCTAGATAATGTCTGTAAATAGTCAAGAGCTGGGTGTATTTATTAGGTGCTTCTCCTCCCATACACACACATGTGCACACATACACAAAAAGATGTAGTTCATGCATACACATGCTTCTGTGCAGTGCATGCTGAGCAGATTAATCAGATGTAGCCCTGCCCTTTGGAAAACAGCAATCTGAAATAGACAAGGGTGTATGTGGAGGTTCCTTAAAAAACTAAAAATAGAATGGCCATATGATCCACCTCTGGGTATATATATCCAAAGGAATTGAAAGTGGTATGTTGAAGAGATATTTCCACTCCCATGTTCATTTCAGCATTATTCACAATAGCTAAGATACGGAAGCAACCTAAGTGTCCATCAACAGATAAATGGCTAAGGAAAATGTGGTATATATACATAAGGGAATACTGTACAGCCTTGAAAAAGAAAGGACATTCTGTCATCCATGACAGCATGGATCGAACTGGAGGATATTATGCTAAGTGTAATAAGTCAGGCACAAAAAGATAAATACTGTATGGTCTCACATGTGGAATCTAAAAAAGTCAGTGTCATAGAAACAGTAGAAAAGTGGTTAGCAGAGGCCGGGGGGTGGGGAGAGAGGGAGAAAGGGCAGATGTTCATCAAAGGGTATAAAGCATCAGACTGGTGGAATAACTTTTAGTGATCTATTGTACTGTGTGATGACCACAGGTAATAATAATGTATATTTTTAAATTGCTAAAAGAGTTGATCGTTAATATTCTCGCCACACAAAAATAAGTTGGTGAGGTTATAGATATGTTAATTAGTATGATTGAGTCTTTCTATAATTTATACATAAATCAAAACATCACATTGTACCCCATAAATATACACAATTACCTGCCAATTAAAAATTAATTATTTAAAATACAAATTTAAAAACCACTACAAAAATTTGAAAAATAAATAAAATAGACAAGGATGATATTGAGAGGAATGGGAAGATATAAAGACAAACTGTCCAATGATCTTAGATAACAGCTAAAAATAAACAGGTATTAATACCTTGTGCAGATACCAGGGAGTATGGAAAGTAACTTTTTGATTTTTGGTGAGGGGAAGAAGGAACGAGCACTGGTTTTCATTAGATAGGAAATATTTCTTTAAGAAATAGAATCTAAATAGAATCTTTGAAGTAAAGGTAATCTTGAAGTAAAGGCACAGATGTGATGAAACTATTTTATTTCTTAAATCCTTAGGAGTACGAATGGCTACTAACTTTGTGAAAAGTTATTTTACATAGATAACAACCACATGGAAAACATCAAATATATATGATTTGCTTATTGTTTTTTACGTATTGAGCTTTGTGCCATGTTCTTTATTATACTTAATATATTTAATGTGGAGGAAGAAGGAATGTTTATGCTCCTCTCTGCAATTTTTGCCCGTCTGTCCACCTCCCTTATTGGGTGTCTCTATATTATGAGTTGCCAATGTGATTAGTTATAGCCAAAGACACCCAGTGGGCCAGGGCTCACTAGGAGGCAGGGTAGCTGCACTATAAAGCATTGATCATAACCCGTGGACCCTTTGGCTCTCTCTTCTATGTCTATGGGGTAAGCGTAACCGGTCAAGCCTGCCGGTATGTCTCAAAAAGCTCTGACATCTTCCCAGGAGCTTGGCTGAGGCTTTGACTTGGCATATATAAATGAGGGAGCAGACGGGAGAGAGAGAGAGATTCAGCCCAAAGAATCAGCATGGTTTGGGGAAGGGACAGGAGTCCACATCCTATGTTTTTACAATATTAAAGACACTTCCACAGCCTCTTTCTCATTTAGGAAGTAGCTGAAAAGGCGTCCTTATCAACAACACACAATGGGGAAGCTGGACTCAGGGTGATATTCTTTGGAAAAGATGAGCAAATTTTAGAATTTCAGAGGTGGAAGTGATCTTAAAATTCAAGTCGTCCAACTTCCCGCTCAATGAGAAATAATCTACAGCAACTCTGCTAGATAACTACTGTGATGAATGTTCCACATGCCCTTGAAAATAATGTGTTCTGCAGTTGTTGGGTGTCAGTTCTACATGCAGTAGGTCCAGTAGTTCAAGATGGCTAATTGTGCTGCTCAAATATTCTATTTTCTTATTTAATTGTTTGTTCTATCAGTTACAATAGAGATGAGTTTGAATCATTGAATATGATTGTGGATTGTCTATTTCTCCTTTTAGTTCTGTCAATTTTTGTTTAGTATTTTGAAGCTAGGATTATGTCTTTCTGTAGAATTGACCCTTTTATCATTATGAAATGTC